ACAATCGTTCTGGGAATTATTTTAACAATATCTCTGTTTTTGTCCATTCTAGTTTACTAACAATTAATTACAAGACGTGATACATGGCAATTAATTATCAACATCAGTGCAGTGCAACCGGTGACGTTTTTGGGATGATAAGTCCAATTTATCAACATTTATTCATTCTTCCCAAAAACCTTGCCCTAGTGACTATTCCCAGTCGAAAAAGTGCCGAATATAAGCACTTGGGTTAACTAGATAACGTTATATATAAGTATATATACTATATAGTACATGAAATAATGTTTTTGAAGTCTAGTTAAATACATTATAACCTCACTAATTCACCAGCACACAACACAGCCGAATTAGATATTAGTTAGTTAAAATTATTTAATAATATTTATAGACTTTTTTTCTTGTTAAAGTTTTAACCTTTTTGTTCATATTGTATTCCATTTTTAACTATATCTTTAGTATAATTGTTTTTTGTTATGTATACAATTTATAGCAAACTTACAAAATAAAAAAAATATATACGAACTCGTATCATTGACATTTAACGATTTCTTCTAGTCGGTCGGTCATTATATTTATTATTTGAAAGTATAATAACAAAAGCAACAATCAAAAGGGTAAACAGTCATAAAATTACATAACTTTTCGATTACGTGTACAAACAATGCAAAGTTTACTATTGTACGATGGATCATCCGTTTTAAAACCATTACTTTGTCAATAAACTAAATGAAATTTTATTAACATTGCTTACCGGTTTAATCAATCTAGTTAAAAATATTACATTTGTCTTTGTCCAGTGCTTTCAGCGTGCGATTCTCATCCTTGAGGTCAAAGTTTCAATTCCCGATGCATCAATGGACTTTCAGTCTGTGTATACTCGTACGGTGAAGGAAAACATTGTGAAAAACCGGCATGCTTTAGATCCAACAAGTCGACTGCGTGTGTCAGAAGACTCACCTACTTGTCTATTAAGAAAAATGAAACATCTACAGAAATCTAAATCAATCAATCCTTAGATTACAGAAAATATTTAAAAAATAATCATTTGTTTAATATTCACTATATTATATATGATTAATTAAGAAATAGCCAGAATTTTTATATCAGGCATGCACTTTATATATTGAATCATTTAAAGATAAAATTTCAAATGATACGCTAATTTTGCGGGTAATTAATTAGCATGCACGCTCAAAGCCACGATTAACGGTTAGTCGCAAAATACGCAACGAAGCAATTCCGCTTTCGATAACATTTCACGATGGCCCGCATTCGAATGACCTCCATATCGTACGTGGACTTTGATCATATAAACAATAACAACCTTTCATTTACCAAACAGCTCAATCAAACAGAGAACTTTATTCGCACAATACATGTACCACAGTTTTTACCAAAACGTGTGCCTATTGTACTTGACATTTAATTCTATGTAAGTCTCTTGTAATGTAACAGCGATTTTAATCGCGTTGACATTCATATAAGTGTAACAGACGAATGAGAAATAATAATTGTTTCTCTTTTCAGATGGATAGCAGTTCTGAAGCGATGGAGTTGCGGCGGGAGCTGGACGCCGTGAAAAGTGCGTTGCAGCAGCAGTCCGAGTCTGTTCTCAAACAACGACATCAGCTTGTTGAAGCGGGACAAGCGCTGGCGGTCCAAGAGAAACAAGCAGTTCAAGAAAGAAGAATCAGACAAGACCAACTTGCCCTAGTGTTACGCTCACTCGTCCTACTGGAGTCCCGCCTCACCAGAGAACAGAAACAAATTCACGTATCGCTTAAGCAAAAAGATAAAATCATCAAATCACAGCAGGAGGAAATACTTAAACTAAAAGCACGCAAATCCTACTGCAGTAATTGTCAACAGCTGCTGGGTTTTACAAGTGAACAAACAAACATTGAAACTGATCCCGAATTTCAAAGCTTAGAAAGTACGGATTCCAGATTCCCAAATACATTTGTGAGAAGTAATAGTTATCGTGAACAAAAATCACCACCGGTTTTCCAAAAGAACACTAGATTAAGTAAGAGTTTTCAACTGCCTAAAAATGAAGTAGTATATTGCAATACTAGTTCCAGTGAAGAAGGCAACACGACAAGTGTTGGAGGTAAAGGAACTTTTATTAAAAATAAACAAGCTTTTGTGCGACGAGATGTATTTCGCAGGTCGAGAAAATATTCAAGTCGGAAAGGTAAACAGCAAGATAATATAAAAAATAATTATAATAATCAAACCAATAATAGTAGCAGTGCAGACGATTGCTTTGGTATGAGTTATCATGTAAATCGCGAAGATGACATCACCGCCAATCAAATAGCAAACGACATCAGAAAAGCTTCGCTTAAAATAGATCAACTTATCGGTGAAGCAGCTAAAAAAGAGCAGGAAAATACATTTAGTGACTCAGAAAAAACTTATTCAACCAAAATTGAGAGATTACACGGCATCAAACGACAGGCGTCGGATGAGATAAAGGCTAATAGACAAATATTCCTTAATAATGTTCTCAGCGAAGAAGTAGTTGAAAAGCCCTGGTATTGCAATGTCAGCGATCAGGAACAAGACATGGATTGTTTAGATCCTAGACTATTAAACGCAAATGCTAAACCTGCCGATGATGTTTTGATACAAGGGCTTAATAGTGGTATTATAAACGCAGAAATAATATCTGCCAAAAATGAGGTTCTTTGCAGTAATTTAATTAAAAATGAAAAATATAATACGCTGTTTGATAGTGAAAATAACAACGTCGAATCACATTCAAACAAAACTGAAAATGCACCTGAAACAAATGAAAATTGGTACGCCAGTACTAGCGATGCGGACGACACTCCGCCACATGAAATTTATAAAAACAACCCAGTTCTTGAATGCGTTAATCAGATCCTCCTCCAAAATTCTTTAGATGATAGTAGTAACGATAATTCTAAATCTAGTGAAGCATCATCTCCAAGTCCGAAAGCAACAACTAAACGTGTTCAATTCTCTACATTAAATAGCATATCGTACGACGATAAAATTAGACCTACTGGTAACCATACGCTGCCTAGAACAGACAGACGAGCTAATAAAATTGTTAAATTCAGTTTAGAAACAGCATCTGAACATAGTTACGAGGTGCCGAATACTGCGCAAGGATTTCAATATGAGATACAAAGTCTTTACAGTAATGAATATGAACCAATTATAACAAAATCAACAGATCAAAAGTCTCTACCATTACCCCCAGAACCGTACAGCGACAATAAGTCATCTATTCCCAAAATACGGGGATCAATTGTGAAAAATATCGCAGCCAATATTGAGAGCCGTAATATCCACAATAACGATCTTAAATCAGACACACGGGGATCTATGAAGATATTTAACAAAAGAAAGGTACCACGAACTCCTCCTGCTCTGCCGCCTAAGCCGAAGAACTTATCGGCCAAATGGAAAGCTGAAAATACTGTCAAAGCACTGACGGAATCTTTAGACTCTGAAGCCGTTGCGGCTAATCAACGGGTTGCAGATGTTAAGAGAAACGCGACTAACGTGGTGACATCTAAGAGCGAACCCGACTACTGCTCCATTTCAGAGATAAATGTTCCAGTAGTCAATAACGGGAAGAGAGAGTTGCTTCTCACGCAGCCGACGGTTGAAATACACAACGAGCAATACCCGCACTCCATTCAACGAAGTGTCGCAAAGGTTGTGTCCCTGCCGAGAATTCAAAACAAAATCAGTGATAAGGACATACCGAAGCTTCCTCAAGTCACTGAAATCATAATTCCCGATGAGGATGAAAAGCCTAATGAAGATTGTTTCCAACCAAGCTACTTAGCTGCCTTCAGCATACACGCTCTACAGCCCAAAATAGATACACGTGGATCAATTCAAATGGGCAACACTGTGTCTTCGATACTCTCTGAAATAAACAAGGGTGTGAAGACTAGTGGCAAACAGATAAATTTAACAGAATTGGACAACCAATTCAATCACGCGTCAGAAAAAATTCAAACGACTCACCCCGAGCAACACAAAGCGGAATATTTTGACGAAATGGACAAGTTTGACTTGTCGCAAAACTTTGAAGAATTCAAAATAGACGAAGAGCTTGGGAGCATAGCCGCTGAAGAATACCGCATCAGCTCCGGAAGCAGCGACGGATCCATATCTGACGTTGTCACTGAACATCATATCTGTGTACCTGAGAAAGAAAATGAATGTAATAGTGAAAAGGAAAAAAATGGATTTCACGAAAGCAACGACACTAAAAATCATTCAAAAAACGCCAAGCTTTCGAATAAACCTGATCTCCTTTCAAATATAGAAAATTTAGAGACTGAATCGGTTAGAAACTCAGACATCGAATCGAGTAACTCTTCAGGAAGTAACAGTGGTTCATACAACACGGTTAAGTGTGAACCGAGGATGATTTTGACCAACCCTGAAGCTGTGAATAAATCTAAGGGGGCTTTTGACTTTTTCTTAGAGACATCTGGTCTTAGTTCTAAGTCTATATTTTCGCCTAGCAAGACTTATCTAGGCATGAGGCCTCCGAGTGCCAATCACAAAAATGTACTTAAACCTAAGGATATAAAAATGCGCGTTAGAAACCCCATCGCAACGAACAAATTCAACGAAAAACCTATGACGACCGCTATTAAGTATTTTGAACCGTATGTGTAAAAAGATATTCTAATATCCTAGTTTATGTTATTTTAATTATTTATTGTAAAAATTGAACTTGCCTGCATAATATTAATGTATTTATGTCTATATTTTTGTGATGTAAATAATGAGCTATTTTAAATATACAATATATGCAAACTGGTGTTTCATTTGAATATAATAAATACAAAAATAAGATTTAAAACTTTTTATTAATATTGTAACAAGACAAACTAAGTATTATATACTTAGTTATGTACACAATAATACACTGATTAATAGTATAACAATAGTTAAACAAAAATATAAGTAGTCATCCCATTAGTGGAGATATTATCAAATCAGTTGTGGGTTTTCAAATTTAACAATTTCGTTTTTAACCTTTTTATAACATTCTTCAATCGCCTGTAATGTATATATTTTTTCTCAGCCATTTTCTCATTACAAATTTCTTGCCCTTTGTGGCTAGTTTCGTATTGAAAATAGTGTTCGCTTAAAATACTGATATCACTGTCTGAAGAACCCAAATCACTCGTAGAACGCATTCTAGATATAGAAATATCACCAAAAGATTCTCTTCGTTTGGGCTTGTACTTTCTACGCACTGATCTTAAGTATTCTTCAGACGAAAACGTAGTTGTCGGCATATCTATTTCGGCGGGAAGACAGGTTCTAAAATCAGTGTATGTATCTAAATCAATGGGTGTACCCCATTTACGATCTAATACACGAGATGCAACCGTCAAATGCAGGTGAAGATCCATTTTAAATGTGTATTGGGCTGAGCTTCAAATACACACTGCTTGCACCAAAATCTGAATGGTAAATGATGCCATGCTCCCTAATGCTGGCCTATTTATTGCATAAAGTTAGAAAGGGTTAGTGCCCAATTAATTGATTAACCCTTTAATTAGGGACTGATTACACTATTATAAATTAGTAAATTAATTGCGCTGGTATGACAAACAGGTAGGTAATTAAATAATATCGTAATTAGGTTGCAACTTAACAGACCACAAAAGACTGTTAAGTCATGTAAAATCTTAATATATATAAATTACGTGTCACGCTGTTTGTCCGCTATGGACTCCTAAACTACCGAACCAATATCAATCAAATTTGCACACCGTGTGTAGTTTGATCCAACTTAAAAGATAGGATAGCTTACATCTCAATTTATACCCGCAATATTATTTTATTGCAAAATATTTGTTTATTATTTGATAGTCGCAATTCTAACAGATGGCGCGGCGCTGTGTTGAAAGTACCAACGTTTCACATCAGCTACAATTTAATGGCATAACCACCAAAAAAGTATGGTGGTCCCCATGACTGGTATTCTCCTACCGTTTCCCTTGAATAGTTTGCTACTATGTAATATAACAAAAACCTTAGCCACAGCAACGCTTGGCCGGTCTGCTAGTTTAATATAATATACATTAAAACTATTAGTAAAAAACCTAAGGTCAGCGACATCTATCGGCTATATCTCTAACCATTCTGCTGCTTTGTGAGTTTGAATAATAAGGCAAGCTCAATTATTCAGAATCAGAATTTTTTCGATATCCTAAATTATAACATTTACAAAACTCATAGGACATTTCAACTTCTATATTGATATCTCCATTTTCTTAAGCCAAATTGTTAATTATAGTCATAAACATCTTAAGAAATATTTATTATTAAAAGTAATGTTAATTATCCTAGACATTAGTTTTTAAACTATTTCAACTTAAAACTAGACTTTGCACAAGAATTTTGCTTGTTTGCCATTCATAATTCAATGGATAACTTACAGTTTTTTACTAAGTAAATAGTAACTTTTACTGAACCATTGCTTGTTCACATGATAGTTTAGTTTAGGGATAGGTGATTCTAAAAAAAAGCAATACTTTTAAAGATTTTTTATTATTAACTATATCATTAAATTAATTTTTTATTCTTCTTTTTCTGGTTGCCCTTATTTTTGTTATCTTTTTTTAAATCTTTCTTCTGCACCTGCAAAATAGATAGCAATAAAATATTTAAGTTTTTTTAGCTCATTTACTATTATATATGTTTTATGTACATATAAATAAATAAACAATATAGTTCACCATCACTTTTCTTAAAAGATATATGTTATCGAAGGTTTTATGTTAAATCATCTGTAACATTTAAAAGAGAAACCTTACTTTCTGTACTAAATTTTCAGAATTCTATTCTTAATAGGTATTCAAATGTTAATGTTAAAACACCAGATGTTTCATATATTTAATATTCCTTCAAATTTTAAGCGAAAAAATTAATAATAATTGAAAATAGATGGCCAACCGAACTATATTTTGTTTCATAACATAACTCTCTAATAATTACCTTTCCATAACTACTCAGTAAATGTCCAACATCATTCTTTGAACCCTTTTTCTTCTTTTGCCCAACAGTTTGAAGAATACTTTTAGAGTTCATTTGTTGCTTTTCCTCATTTTCCTTTAATTTTTCTTGTTTCCTTTTAGCCATGAGCTCTTTATAATTTAAATAGGCCCGTTTCGGTGGCTTAGCACCTACAACAATTAAGATAAATATGTTAAGTCATAACACATGCTTAGACAGATTTCTTAGAAGAAAAGTAAGTGATTCTTTTATATAGTTAAAATCTTTAAAAAAAGACACAAACATTTGGTAAAATACAAATTCAATTCAAAATACAATATCACAGAGCACACATATATATGTATAATACTATTTATAAAATTAAATAAACATTACACCAAAATTAAAATATAAAATAATTAAACCAACCGAAATACAGGCAGCAGCAGTTAAGTATGTGATTATGATTTAATATTAACTGTATTTATTTTAGCACTTTTATTATTAAAATAGATAAGTAAATATAGTTTTACCATTATTTATTAAGCAAATATGTCTTACCTAAACTTATGGCTAAGGCTATTTTGGCTTCTTGTTTCTTTGTAGAATCGAATCCTGACATCCCAAATTTAACAATTTCATGGCGAATTTTTTTCAGATCTACTTCTTTCTTTTGCGTATTTGTGCTTCGTAAATCATGTATTTTTTTATCGTCTGATAAACTTTCCTTTTTCTTAGGTTTATGAGCTTCAAACTTAACAACTTTGAAGTTTTTTTCGGCATTATTTAAGGCTAAAGCAGCTTTAGTTAATACTAAAGACATGATTTAAAGTAGGTCTAATTCTTCTTTAACAAATAAAAATAATATCATCTTTAAGGTTATTTTGATTGAATTAATTAATATTCACGAGTTCTCGAATATTGTACTTCATCTTATAGTTGACACTTGACAGTACCAAATGACAACAGCGACCTTGCAGAACCAGAGTTTATTATTATTATTATTAAAGCTTTATTAATCCATACAACAATTGGTTAGTTTACATTCCTTAGAAATTAGTATTAGTTAAGTTAGTATGAGTTTTAAACTAAATTTAAGTTAGATTTATTTTTAATTTTTTAGTGGTCTTGTTTTTGTATGGCCCCTTTTAGGGTAAAAGCCTCCTCCATATTTTTCCATTTCTCTTTGTCTTGAGCAACATTCATCCAGTTTTCCCCGGCTAGTTCTACGATGTCATCTGTCCATCTTTTCCTTTGTCGTCCTATACATCTCTTTCCAGTAGGTCCAGTCCATTTCGTTATTTCTAGTGTAGCGCGGGATAAAAGATGGACACTAGAACCAGAGTTTAATAATAATCAATTATTTTTCTAATTTAACTAAGATTTAGTAACGAGAGTGACGAGACTTAGTAGCGCTTATGGAAGTTGTAAGACTCGCTTCTGAATCTCTTCTCATTTTTTAAACAGTGGATCAATGAGTAATAATCTGTGCCTAGACTATATCGACTAATAAGTATAGTGCTTTTCGTGAAAGAAGTCCCGCGGTGATTTTTGGAACTAAATTTGACAGGTCGGCAATGTTGTCTTTCGTCGATGTTATTAAGTTCGTTTGTTGTGGTAGATTTTTGTGAATTTTTAACTAGCTTAGTGCATTTTAAAGATTGATTACAATGCCAAAAGTTGTAAAAATTTCGGCTCGAGAAATGATATTAAAGGTGAAAGAGTTCTATGAAGCGGAACATAAGAATCAAGGTGTTTTAATACCACTAAACAATGTTCGGAAGAGAGTTGCCGCCATAACAGGTACCTTTTAGAGTTGCCATTTAATAATTTTTTGCTGTATTGATGGGACTTTTATGATATAAATTCGTTTTTGCGACAAAATTGAACAAATACATAACGTGGTGAAACTAGGTAACTGAAATTAAAACATATATTACATTTAACATAAGCATTATAAACTTAGTTATTATTATTTTTAATTGTTCATAATTTAATTGCAGGTGTGTCATAGAAAACTGTAACAAGAATTACAAACGAAGGTATAACAGCGGCGTGTACTTCGAAAAAAATTGTAACCCAACAATTATGCAATAAAACTCTGAATAAAAAATTGTATTGCTTTTCTTTACCCTATTTTCTCATCTTATCCCTGTAAGTAGGTAGAACACCGCTAATATAAGTAAATAAAATATACTTTTTACATAACAGAAATATTGTTCATCGAAGTATGCAGAAAATAATATTATTTGATAAATTACATCTGCTAAATGTACATAAAATAGGTAAATTTTTTACTCATAAATGGCAACATTACGTCATGCGATTGCAGCGCCGCGTCTGGGGACTTCTTTCATGAAAAGGACTATATAGTGCTTTTCATGAAAGAAGTCCCGCGGATATTTTTGGAACTAAATTTGACAGGTCGGCAATGTTGTCATTCGTCGATGTTATCAAGTTCGTTTGTTGTGGTAGATTTTTGTGAATTTTTAACTATCTTAGTGCATTTTAAATATTGATTACAATGCCAAAAGTTGTAAAAAGTTCGGCTCGAGAATTGATATTAAAGGTGAAAGAGTTCTGTGAAGCGGAACAAAAGAATAAAGGTGTTTTAATACCACTAAACAATGTTCGGAAGAGAGTTGCCGCCATAACAGGTACTTTTTAGAGTTGCCATTTAATAATTTTTTGCTGTATTGATGGGAGTTTTATGATAATATAAATTCGTTTTTACGACAAAATTGAACAAATACATAACGTGATGAAACTAGGTAACTGAAATTAAAACATATATTACATAAGCATTATAAACTTAAAGTTACTATTATTTTTAATTGTTCATAATTTAATTGCAGGTGTGTCAGAGAAAACTGTATCAAGAATTACAAACGAAGGTGTAACAGCGGCGTGTACTTCAAAAAAAATTGTAACCCCCGGGGAAGAGTCGCCCGCATCCGAAAAAGTTCGACTTAGACGGGTTCGATTTGTGCGCTATCCGGCAAAAAATTTACAGTTTTTACGTCGTACATAAAGAATTACCAACATTGGTTAAATTACGGGCAGCTCTGCGAGAGGACATCAATTATCAGGGAAGCATCACAACATTGCACAGGATATTAAATAGAATTGGTTTCAAGTACAAGCGATGTCAATCCAGACGAAAACTACTTATGGAACGCCACGACATTACCGCATGGCGTGCAAGATATTTGAATAAAATACGAATAAATCGCACTGTGGAAAAACGACCAGTTGTATACTTAGATGAGACCTATATACACAATACTTATCATACAAAACGTTGTTGGCAGAGTGAGGAGGAGCCAGGAATGTTCGTCTCAGAATCATCAGGGAGTCGCTGGATAATCGCTCATGCGGGAACAAAAGATGGATTCATAAATGGTGCATTATTAATGTTCAAATCCCAATCAAAGTCCTCAGATTACCACGATGACATGAACTCAGCAAATTTCTTAAAATGGGTGACGGAAAAACTAATACCTAATCTACCTGAAAGGTCGCTTGTGGTAATGGATAACGCTCCTTACCATTGCACTCAATTAAACAAAGCCCCTTCTATGTCAAATATAAAAAGTAGTATGCAAGAGTGGCTCCGGCAAAAAGGGTATATATTTTGAAGACACCTGGACAAAAGTTGTGCTGTATGAGCTAATCAAACAAAATAAAGGTCCACCGATATTTGCAGTGGATGAATTATTAACAGCTCACGGACACGAAGTATTAAGGTTGCCGCCTTACCATTGTGACCTCAACCCGATTGAGAATATCTGGAGCCTTGTAAAAAGAAAGGTGGCGGATAAGAACGTGGCACAAGATCCAAAAGAAATATTAAAATTAACTAAAGAGGCCTTTGAGTCTATTACGGCTGAAGATTGGACAGCTCAGTGCTCGCATGTCGAACATTTAGAGGAGGAATATTTAAAAAATGACGGCCTTATGGATGAAGTGATGGACCGAATAATTATATCAACTGCTAGTGATACTGAAACAGAATCTGATTCTGTTTCAATACACTCTTCGGACAGTGATGTCCCTATGGCCGTTGATCACAATTATGCAATAAAACTCTGAATAAACAATTGTATTGCTTTTCTTTACCCTATTTTCTTATCTTTTCCCTGTAAGTAGGTAGAACACCGCAATATAAGTAAATAAAAATATACTTTTTACATAACAGATATATTGTTTCATCGAAGTACGCAGAAAATAGTATTATTTGATAAATTACATCTGCTAAATGTAAATAAAATAGGTAAATTTTTTACTCATAAATGGCAACATTACGTCATGCGATTGCAGCGCCGCGTCTGGGGGACTTCTTTCGTGAAAAGGACTATAATCTGTTAAAGTCGATACTCGGTAATACTTTCGAATTAATTCGGTCTAAAGTATTAAGTAAGTTCAAGTCTCAACTCTCAAGATTCAAATGCTAGTCTCTAGAGTCTAGCTGTGTAGTGTGTAGTGACTAGTGTGTAGTCTCTTCTCCATTGAAATTGTATAGTTTTTTTTATTTTTGTATTCGAAGTAATTACGTATGCTGTTACGTACATTCTAAAAATAATATAAGATATATCGTTTACCTAATTTTAGAACAGCAGGTACAGAAAATATTTTTATCGTACAAACTTCGTAACTTTTAACATTTCGGGCAAGTAGTGTTACTGCTTGACTTTATTTTTATTCAGTTTCGTCTTATCCTACCTCTAAGATAGAAGTAAACTATGATAGAACAAACAATTAATACATTCAAAAACACTGATAGTTCAGTTAAAGCCGGAGATTTAATTTTATCAGAAGAACCTTTCGCTTACACACTTTCCTCCACAGAAAATGGAAATAGATGTGACTATTGTCTCCAAAAGTAAGTAACTTGAGTTTATATTTTACCTTCTTCTAAAGTAGTAAAATTAAAATATATTTTTTTAAGTTACCACAGCCTGCCACATTGTGAAACTGCTACATCTAAAATGTTTTAAATTAAAAACATAATTTAAAAAATTCTTATAAAAAGCATCTTAAAAAGACAATAAAATTAACTCTGTTTAACACAGAACACTGATAAATATTTAAATAGAATTATTATTTCTTTATTTAAAAGGTGCAAAGTGCGGAAGTGTTCAGGTTGTCAGTTTGTACATTATTGTGGGAAAAGTTGCCAAAGAGCAGCATGGGATGATCATAAGGTATTTGTTATCTTACTTACGTTTATTAGATTGTACCCTTATGCTATATCTGCTAAGAAGCTTTCTATATGAGAATTTTACCCTGGATAATAAAAATCATTACTATTGTATAATTTAAGATTGTCTGTTAATTTAGAGTTGTATGAAGTCCTATAAGACCCCATGGGGAAATAGGCCAGACAAATTTCTGTATCTGTATTCTGATTTAAAGGTAATTATATAATTAGCCTTATATTATATATTTTATACGGCATCTTTAATTGCCTGGAAATCATATGGTGTGTATTTTTCTTGACTTATTTCAAATTTGAATTTACTTTGACTAACAGTTAATGTATTTACTAAAGCTTATCATTCTATAATATTTCTGAGCTAATAATAAAAATTCTGAGCTTATAAACAGATTCATTTAATAAAAATCTTTACATATGGCAGTTCTGCAGGTCAAACAATAATTTAAAATTAAAAAAAAAAAATACTTAGCAATATCTTCGAAAAAGAAAACCATATGGTCTTGCTTCTGGTTGGGCAACTAATGATGATACCATTCAGTTCATACCTTAAAAAATATTTCTCCTAACTATACTGAATGGATATTACAGTGGGAGTGTGCTAACATAAAAAAAGTAGCACCAAAAGTAATTCCTGATGCAGCCAGATTGCTGGTTAAAATAATAAATAGACTAAAATATGGAGACGGAACCTCATACAAAGTATTTTATACACGGACATCATTTAGGATGTGGAAGGACCTTATGTCACGTAAGTTTACTTTCTTAAATTTGTAAGAAATAATATCTCGATTTGATTTGTCAGTTCAAAGGTTTATTATATAAGGATAATAGGGGCTAGAGCTACTCAAAATAATCTATTACTGTTGATTTTGTAGTGTGTATAGTGCATAGTCTAGATTGATATATATAATACTCTAGATTTGACAAACCCTAATATTGTTTTGGTTGTGAAGTATCATGACATACAAACGAGACACAGCTTACTGTGTGAAACACAGCGTACTGATATTGGAATTAAACCTCATTCCTAAACGTCAAGTGAGAATTATAGAAACTCTTCAAAATTAAAAAGACTACACAAAAAGTATATTTAACACAAGCAACAAAGTTGCAAGTTGGAAAATACATTATAGAAGCTCCCTTTGCATGATTTTTATAATTCCAGACTTCTTCCTTAAGCTACTAAGGCATCCAAACTAATCCAATGTTACGGACTGTGCTTAGTTCAAACAAGCAAATAACAAATATAAATTAAGATCTAGCTTAAGCATAGGATTCTTAGAGTAATATTTCACGTTTAGTATTATTATTTCAGTTTGATATTAGAATTTCTGAGTAGAGTCAGAGTCTATACTACTCGGTAACTAAGGACTTCCTCGGTTTTAAGCATACTACAGACATCAAGTCATCTTCTTTGAAGCTAATTTTTAATTATTTATTTATTTTCGTATTCTTCATTGCTGAAGGTGGTGTCACTGTAAGGTGCCCGTTAGATCTCTCCACTTTGTTCGGTCTATAGCTTCCCTCGGCGCAGTTGTTATAAGGAGAGTCGTGACTTGGAGACACCAGCGGGTCGCCGATAACCAGCTTGCCCAGGTTTTCGCGATGGACGATATGAACAATTTTAAATACTAATCCAATAGAAGTTTTCTATTACAATAAAAAGTTGTTTCAATGCAAATTTGTGTCAATGCAAAGATAGTACTGCAATTGCGACCGCTTTCTTCGCCGAATTTGGCATCGCAGTCTCCCAATAATTTTTGCATTATGTACCTACCCTACCTCCAAAGACCTTTAAATATTCGAACTTGATTAAAAGTTTTAAGAAATTTTTGTGTTAAAACATGGATCTTAACTACTCCTACACTTCTGATTTTTACAGATTATTCCGATTTGAAAAAAGACAAGAAACGCATGGAGCATTTCACGTCACTTTGCGGCGTACTTTATGATTTCTTGAACGATATATCGTTACCTAATACAGTGGATCTCATGGGATTATACGGCAGAGTAAGTTTTTTGGTATATTTATTATTAATGATTAGTTAGTAAGGGAGCGTTCAAGTATTACGTCACGCACTTTTGGAGATAATTGAACCCCCCCATGTAACGTGCCGTAACGTTTTTCTGTACCCAAGTATAGTAAAACGTTTCGTGACCACCTGGTGACTATAACTAGAAGTTACTTTTATGTGGTTTAAGTAGAAAATAATATTAACAATAACGCATAATTCGATCCCCGCCCCGCATTGTAACGTTTTTACAAAAGGACAAAAATTCGTTACGTAATACATGAATGCTCCCTAACTCAGACGAATGGTATACTCTTGACAATGATTGTTTTACTCTTGACACGATCTGGATTTTCGTTATCTCTTATAAGTAAAAGTTCTAAGGGTCTGATAAAAAGGAGACGGATCCCAATATTGCTTCCAATGTAAATCTACAAACATTTTAACCAAAAGCTGACAAAAAGAAAATACTTTTAGAAAGTATGAATGATCAGAATTAATGTTTTCATCGAGTTAGGCACCGGCTCGGGTATTTGATCGGACGGTAGCGAATCACAGCCCCCGAAGAATTTGTGGTTTTTTTCTTCTTTCGTGAAACTTCTTTAGGCGCATGTTTGTTTTTTGTTTGTTTGACATCTTTCTATTGAGAGAGAGTGAGAAGGGCCGACCTTACAGAAATTCTAAATCTAAATTAAAAAAAAAAATATTATTGTATTAATTTTCGACACTTTTCCCTCCAAGTTTCGGAAATGTTAAGTTTTAGATTTGTATAAATATGAACAAGTTAAAAATTAGTTTTCCAAACAAGATTCAATTCTGACATGTGTACTTTGTACGCACGCACTTTTTTATACAAGGCAAGTCAGTGATTAGACTTTTAAGCGTTTCAATTTTTAGAAGTAAGATATTCTCCAAATTTGTTTGTACGAGTTATATTGGTGGAATCGATTGCTCAGGATTTAGTCGCACACTCAAACTTTTATTTTTAAATGGCAACATTTCATATGTCATGCCATTTAAATGTTGTTTTTTAGATGGTAATAAACAGCTTCACAATATTAGACAATGACTTGAATTCCATCGGATCTGGTGTGTACATCGCTGCGTCAATAATAGACCACAGTTGTAATCCCAACGCAGTCGCCACTTTTGATGGAAGGAAGATTATCGTTAGGGCTCTTGTGGATATGCCCAAGTTTGACTGGAAAAAGGTAATTTGAAGGTTTTTCAAATCAAAATCATTTATTCATATAGGTAACACAATGTACACATATGAACGTCAAAAAAGAAATTAATGTAAACATACACAATGTCATAGTCGTAGAATAGTGACAGATCTGACAAATAGTATACTTTACAGGGCAGCCATTACAAAATAATATAATCATGTTAGTTTTTGTCATAACTATTTTAATTCATATTCTGTTATTATGAAAATTGGCATACAAGCAAACAAAAGAGTTTGTTTTAAAACAAATTAAAAATAAAAACATTAAATCACATGTTTCTATCACATCCGTCATTTTACCGACTGATTAATTTGAAATTTAAAACACATGGTTTTTTTTTAAATGTAGCCGTAATATTTAGTCAATGTGTAGTATCCAAATATGATGAAAATACGATTTTGGATTTTTTTCAAATCCGACATTGTTCTACGATCATGACGACATGTATGAACTGTCAGTATGAAGACGATAAACTCAGGATCTACCGAACTGTTTTACGGTTTTCACTAATAGATATAATTTCTGATTTAAAACGCTAACGTTAAAATTAAAAAAAATATCGGTTTTGTTAAAGTTAAAATCTTGCTACTTAAAATTAAACGTCAATCGGGCGAAACCTAGTAAAAAATAATAAATCATATAGTCTAGTTCTTCAATTAAAAGTTTATATTATATAACGTACGTTTGTATACAAGTTCACCAGTAAAAACTAACCAAATATTGTAGGATTACTACGAATTCTAATCGCCATATCTGTATTTAAATTATTTACATTACTCGATGATTCGAGTGCTATTCGGCACTGATCAGCTATTATTTATTTATTGTATAAAATATTACAATTTCAGCAAGTGTTTATTAAAATATGAATCAAGAAACAAAAAATATAATTCAACATAATTTATATACTACATATAATATAAAATATTGTATAAATGAGACTTCAAAATGGTAAACTTAAAAAACATATAATCATATCAAAAGATAATGCCACCTCAATTTGACATATCTATTATTTTTGACATTCAAATGTTGCCATATCGAAATGTATAACACTCGAAACGTCGAGTTAGGTAAATAAAATCGCGTTTTTATCTGTTAAATATGTATTTAAATCAGCAAAATAAATTGTTGGTAATTGTTGATCGCATGAATATTTGAAAAACTGCTGTAAGTGTAAGTTTTCTTTTTCAGATCAGGATATCGTATATAGAGCTAATGAAAACACCATTTGATCGACAGAAAGAGCTCTTACAGAGTTACTATTTTGTTTGCCAGTGTGAGAAGTGTTTGAGTGAGTCTTCCAAATTAATCTATATTTTAATTTTAGACATTTAATTGAAACTAATAATTGATTCTGGTGACCCAAAATGTTTTGGGGCACTATAAATGGTTAGTTGTTGTGGTGTCCCTAAACGTGTAGGGGCTTTTTAAAGGGGAACTGTATACAAGTTTTTTTTTCTTAAAAACCCATGTTTCTATTCAACTTATATTGAGCCTAGAACTCAACCAACGAAATAAACTCCTACATCGAAATTTTATACCATTTTATACTACTTTAATGCATTTTGATGCATATTTGATATAAACTCTCAAACTGTGGTTCTAATTATCGTCCTCGGGGAACATTTTGTAGGAGTTGGTATCACTGCTATGATATTCAATTAATCGGTCATAAAAAGGTTACTTTTAAATTTACTATTAGGTTACATGTAATGCCAATGAAACTATTTAATATAATAAATTAAGTACATTGTACAGGAATCACTCCTATAACACGGTAGATTATTTCAGCGTTATAGGAAACGTGTTGTAGGAGTATTCTCCCATAACGAGCTTGTTTTAACTTATCTCGTTAAAGAGCGTTTAAATAATAAGAAAAAAACTACGTTATGAACGAGATATGTGCCTCTTAATCATTAAAAATGTTTGCAGATATCGAGCAGTTAAAATATGTTCACGCAGCAAAATGTTTGAAACAAGAATGTGATAATCCTGTTAATGTACATTGGCAGAAAAACTGTAGATTAGTAATCGTGGAAAAATGTGAGAGAATTAGAAGAATTCACGAAAGTATTCTAAATGGTGAAAATAATTATGACGAAGAACTTGAAGATGGCAATGGTGATATTCAAAATGGCGATGACAATACTATCGAGAACGGTGTTGCCAGTGATATTGCAAATCGTGTTGACGAAAGTGTTGGTGAAATAAATTGTGATGACAAAAACGTTAATAAGAATGTGGTGTGTTCAAAATGTGGTACGAAATATCCAGATGAAAGTATAGAAGTTTTTAAAGAAGTAATGAGTTGCTCAGAAACCATTTTGTTGGATATGAAGAACACAAGTGTGGCTTGTATCCTTTTAAATATATTTATTTTACATATTACAGCGAATTATTATTATATATTACTAATACAAATATAATATTATTATATTTGAATAAATTAATTGCCATAAAATTGCTGTGAATGAATTCTATATTTATTAACAACACATTGTTAAGCCTAGAAAAGTCAGAAATAAAAAATCATCATCAATCATTCATATAGGTACCACAATGTTCACTTATGAACGTCAAAAAAGAAATATACATTAAATGCTTCTAATTTAACATTTACTGCCAGTTCGCAAATCAAGGGCGTAGATCGGAAGAGAAGAACTGGCAATAAACTCTCCGCCACTATTTCAAAATCGCCAAGTTTTTTGTTTTACACAACGTGTGTAAGGAGCTGCAAAAACTGTCAGTGTCTTATTGTCAAAATGATGGCATCTAAGCCAGCTGATACTTTTTCTGTGCAAAGAAAAATGGCAACTTTTTGAAATGTTTATGAGTAGAGAATAAATAAGTGATGTTTATATATCAAATATTTTCTAATGTCACCTCAATAATATCCTAATCATTAATCAGACATGGAAGTATGTAAATGCTGCATTCAGAAACAAAAGGGAGTGTTACATCCATTGAATGTTTTTTACGCTCAAATATTAGAGCAATGCTTCGATGCATTCGTAAACGTACAATTGTGGCAGAAGGCGTGCGTATACGCAGAGGCGTTGTTGCCATGTTTTAGGTATCATCGACCAGTATCACATTTAATTACGCTTTTGACAGGCTAGATGTATGTAGACTAATTATATAAAATGTAATATTGTAACAAATAATGCCATTTATATTGGTATTATCATTAATTACTTAACTCAATTAGAAATAATAATAAGCTTTTTGCAGTTATACTTCTTTAGGCGCGTTATGAAAAATTGATGAGAGTGAAATTTGACGATGCGCGCGCACCGTGACACAAAATTAACAGAATGAAGTTGCCCACGTCGAATAATATTATTTAATTGTAATTAATTATTTGTGTGCAATCAAAAACTATGTTTAATAATGCCAAAGAAGTATCATTTCTTATACGCGTACATAAGTACACGCTCCCTTTTTTTTACAAACTAACTGTAAATAGAAAATATTTGTTATAAAGTTTTCATTTAAATCAGCCATCCACGACTAATTCACGCCATGGATAAATTTGTATTTTTTTGGGTAAATTGCTTGCTTGCTAGTTATAATAGCTTTATATAAAAAAAGGTATTGAGATAAAAAAATATATATTTTAAATAGGTTAGGATTTGGTCCTCATTACAACTTGTTGTTTATTCTTTTTTCGTTTCCTAACTTTTCCATCTTTAACATTTTGTTTAACATCATTCTTTCTCTTTTTCTTCTTGCATGACAAAGGATTTGGGTTATGTGGTTTTTTGGCTACTATTTTCTTTTCCTCTGGAGTACTTTCAATACCGAGAGTCCTCTTCATCTTTTCTAATGCTTCAGTTTGACTTACACTTATCAATCTACTGGAGTCTCCTGAATACAGCTGATATGCTTTGCTATAACTTTCCGATGAAGGTTTCAACAATGTCGGAGACTTATTATGTAGGTAGATAAGTGGTACTCCAGGCATGCGTTTTAATCGTTCTTGCAAATCACGATCCTGAGTGGCAACTATATAATGCTTATCGTTAACATCAGCTATCATGGATAAAATACATTCAGTACCACTTTTCGGTTCTTTATGACCACATTCATGGATTCCAAACTGTTTTATAATAGCGAGGGCACCTTGTGTCTTCTTTGCAACTTTCTCAGTTTCTACTATTATACATCTTGTAGTTAAAAATTTTATATTCCCATCAAGGTACTTAGGGAGCTGGTCACGTATGTTTATGTGTTGTTGGAAGGCGGCAAAACAGAATGTTCCATCCATCATGACTTGATAGGGTTGGCGGAAGCCATAGTTGTTGTAGTAGAATTTCAAATATTTCTGGGCTTTCTTATACCTTGCTAACTTCATGGTTGGACTTTAAGGTTTACAATATTTCATACCTGAAACATAACATTTTTTAAATAAATAATTGGAATAATAAGCAACTAAGATATAGGTATTTATTTAACTAGATATACTGGGTGTATACCCAAACATACCTAAATACATAAAAATATGTATATTGTGAAAATAATTTATAGTGTATTTAAAAATATACTTCACATTTACAACTATTTCATATCAAGAAATATAATGTTAAACCTTGTTGCGTTAATAATTATTAAAATCATCATATTTATTTATATTTATTATTATCATCTGACAGTAACTCTTAAACATTGTGGTTCATTATTTTGTCCTGTTTCCAGGTTTTATTATGGACCCCTTCATCCTCTTCTTGGCTTACTACACTTAAAATACGGAAAGATTCTGCTCTACAAAATGGACTTAAAAAGTGCTCTTCAACAGTTAAAAAGTGCAGAAAAAATATTAAAAATAACACATGGGGACACACATCCACTCTACAAAGAGCAGTTACTGCCCCTGTTACACCAAGCTTTTATAGAAACTTCATAGAGTACAATTATATATTTTTTGCATTTAGCTGACTAGAATTATTTATGATGTTAAATATTGCCTAAATAACATCAAAGCTTCTTCAAATATATCATTTTCCTTACTGGCAACAGAGGAAACTATCTGATTTTCTAAAACAGAGATATTTTGTGCCAACTTTTTAGGATTTTGTTATATTTTTATTTATATTTTGTTTTTAATGAGAAAAGATTTTTTTTAAACAAATCTATTATTTCTATGTTAATTTATAGAATACAAGTATTTGTTACAATATATTTCATGGTGTTATCTTTTATCCTAAAGATTGTCATAACACTATGTACTAATCCGTATACTGCTTAGTACAGAGGGCTCATTTCTAATGTTGAAGTGGCCTTATTGTTATAAAATTTGAGGCTGTGTGTAATAAACTATTATTAATAGAACTTTTTTAGAATTTTCTTTTATAAACCTTATGACATTTTTGAAATTATTTATGTATAGAACAGGGGGCAAACGGGCAAGAGCTTCACATGATGTTAAGTCATAAAGGAAGAACAAGTTTAATGCCAGCGGGCTTGCATATGAGTTGCCGGAATTTTAGAAATTGCTATGTTCATTTCTTGAATCATAGAAATTTGTGGCCTAATCAAAAACAAGTTGAAATTAGTCATCCCAGGTATTATGTTAAACAGTTGCACATGACATGAAGTAAACAAAACATTCATCACAGGTATTATTGAATTCTCAATCAATGATGTCAAGGTGCTTAGTTTGGGTAATGCTAAAATTACTCTATATCTTCTGGCACAGTCCTTATGAGCACATGCTGAAAATAATGTAAATGTACTAAAGGAAAAGCCCTTAGGATCCCCAGTAATCCTATACCTTTACACAAAAATATCTTCAACAAACATTATCATCAGACTGAATATAACATCTGTTACATTCAACCATTCAGTTTTTTAAGACCAGTCTTCAAAGGGACTAATACCCTAAGTTTTTCCACTGTTATGATCGTTAAAAACTTAACGTTCTTATTTTTAAAAAGCAACATGCCTTTTTGATGTTAAAATGTAGTTCTGTTTCAACTTACTTCTTTAAACAAGTAAATACATAAAATACACAAATAAAAGTTCCGAATCAAAAAGCACTAAATACTTAGGAATGATTAATATCACTCATTAAGGGTGGTTTCATTATTAACTACGCTAAATTCCAATAATAATCTAAATAACAGAGAAAAATATTAAATTAATAAACAACTTACTTTTTATGCAGATTAAAAAACTATAAAGTTGAACCAAGATAATAGAAAACAAACGCAGATGAATCAAATTACAAAAATGTTATCTGTGGTCTATCTAAAAAATAAAGGAAAGGTCCAAAAATGGCTATAAAATTGAAAACAAAAACTAAAGCATAAAAACGGGAACATATAAGTCAAGGCGATCGATAAAAATAAGGTGATTGCCGTGAATGAGATTTATTTATTTAAGTGAATGCTTACTTTATTTTTATTTTATTCAAATCTTATAATGATTTTAGGTTTTTATTCGTAAATTCTTGTTCTTCGAAATTCTACAAACAATACCTAATTAAAATCTTTAAGAATCTTAAATCTTTTTATTTTACATGCAATCTGTTTAGGTTTTATTTTTTAGGTTATCTTTTTTAGATCTTAGGTGCTAACTTTGATGTTGTGTCCGATATTGTTATAAATAATAATCTATTACTGAAATAGTTTTCATTAAAGAAAAGCATTTCGTAAAAAGGCATGTTTTATAGCAAATTATTCAGTAAAAATACACAAATTTCGTCTTATTTTCCTTGTCCTTATTATTCTATTAACACGACCTACCTCCCCTATACCTATAATTTAATAACATCAAATGTTTGATTTCCATACAACTTCTGTTTTACATGTGCTGTAAACGTTTTAAAGACAATTTAAGATAAATATGTTTAAGCGTAAACGTGATAAGCAATTATTGTATCAAAAAATTTTAATAACCGTCTAATATTTTATTTTTATAAAAAATATTGGCAAAGGACGATACTAACCTGGAAGAGAACTACTAGCAACTTACGTAAAATAAATGATAACATGGTTTGATCTCTTATTGGTGCATAAGAATGACGTTTATTTCATTAATAAATTAAATAAAGGATTAATATAGCTCGGTTTTAATTTTATTATGACTACGGTTACCATAAGATCTGTGGATATTCTGTAGGAGTATTATCTGTAAAAAAAATATATCGATACAGAATAACATGACAAATAAATAACCGTTTGATTTCAAAATGTATACTTTAGAAAATGGCAACTTTAAGTTCTGACTTTTCAATTCCGTCAATATTGGAATCCGTTTCGATTTTTTTCGTGCAACAAATCCAAATTGAATGATTTTGAGTTATAAATTTTAATATAGCGTACACTAACTCGGGTATTAAAAGTGGAATTGAAACATTTTACCGTACAGTTGTTTGCAGTAAATACACAGTCTAATGTTTTGGTACCAATGACCAATCATGTCAAATGCATTCATATGGTGGTGAGCAGTCGAGAGGCTCAGTAGTCTTCTCGCTGCGTATAACATTACTTCAAAACGTGAAGCGCACCAGTGCGGTACTGCACGATAATAATATCATGATCGAATGATAACCTAGTTTCATGAAAAGATTCTAGTCGCAATCTTCCTTTATAACGCCGCGAATTTCCAGAAGACTTTTGTGAAAGACTTAAAATGTTTAGTAAATTATATGAAAAAAGACTTCAGCAGCAGTGCAGTCCTGTGAGTAGGAACCAGTATGTGCTGGCCCGGCCAGAGCCTATGGACAGATTTATTCCATGCAGATTGGATAATAATTGGCAGACAAGTTTTCAAGGTAAGTGCTTCAATTCCAGGAGTAATAATAAATAATTTGTTAAATTACTTATATTTTCTTAAGGTGTGTTCTCTTACTCTCAATTACATTATGAAATCTATTAATACATTTGTGAGTTATTTCAATTTATTGTAGAATCCTCTAAAGAGAAACATTTTCATACATGTGTGAAAATGTGCTATCGCTTCTATCACATGTTAAGTTATTTTCTCACTATCTGTCCATAAATTATTTTGAATTTAACCATATCAATTAAATATACTTTAGATCATATTTAAGTGTGTGGCTTTAAGTAGGATATAGGGGTTTATCTTTTCTTTTCATTTGGTGGTTGGTTTTAAGATGGCTTTAATATAATTATTGTTTGAATTAAAATAGAAATAATTTATATATTCATATTATTTCCTATATTCTATCTAACTTCGGAAGACCAGTTTTCAATATGAATTTCAGTGTAATACTAATATGTAATTACAAAATAATAAACCATTATGCTTTTTGCCGATAAAACAAATTATACCAGTAAAAATATTTCTTGTAGACTAATTTACTAAATGCACACTGCATTAATGAAATTAACTAAGAATGTTATTGTTCTTTGTCAATTAAATTTATCAACTTGATATCATATAAGTCTAAGTACTTTGATTTTTGATGACCTTATTATTTAACTCTATTTAAACTCTAGTTAATAGTCAAAATGTGTTTTTTTAGTCATAAGTAAATTAATTTTAGGCACACGAAACTACTCTGTGTAAAACTGGTTAACAACAATAACGGCTTTTATTATTTATTATTATTATTTAACTCTTAAAAACTATAATATTATACATTAAGGTTGTTGAACACTCTGAAGTTGTAAGGGAATTAGGATTAAATCATAATATTCAGATTATAAATATGTTATAATCTTTTTTGATTTGAAGTAAATATTTATTTCTATACCAATATTACAACATTAATTATAATATAATCAATTCTTTAATTTATTGGCTTTTGAAGTAGCTTCAGTACCATTTTATCTTGAGAGTTTTACTTGAAATTTTACCAAGGATATTCATAGTATTCTTATTGAGTGTTACCAAAACCTTCTAGTTTGTGGCAATGACCTTCAATGTAATGAATACTGCATATATGTACATTGTGGTTCTTATCCACATTTAAATTTTAGCTAATAACTTAATAGCTTTATTTTTATAAAAAAAATGAACTGCAGGCAAATCTCTGAGTGGCAATCTAACAATTGCTTTTGTCTTGTACATTCACGTCTAAGTAATGACAATGATTCGGCTAAAACTGGCAAAGTAATGATAGGTTGGCTAATGGAAAACACAGTTTTTTGCACCACACGGCTTCTGTAATTGTTGTTGGTTTGCCTGAATAGATGTTGGGTTCATTGTGTTTCTTGGATTTTATTTTTAATTGAATTGAATTACAGGTCTGACTTTTAAATTCTTCATTGCTCTCAAATTTTTTGATTAATTTTTAAACGTTATAGAGGCTAGATTATTCTGATGGCTTCATTGACTTTTTTTAAACTATAAAGTTTTTTTTAACAATATGTTAACCTATGATTTGCTATTTTAAAAGAGTACCGAGAGTTTTTTACCCGGCTTTTTCTCTCGGCCTACACCCTCTGTCTTCTTTGCCGATGAGTAGGGAAGCCTACAAATTCAAATTTAATGACGTGGAATAAGTGATACATGTATCTTATGTTCCATAATAAACATTTGATTTTTTTATTTTATTGATAATATTTAAAATAAATGTCTACTAATTTTTTAGAATTTGTACGAAAATCATGTTAAAATTTTGCTAATTGATTTACCCCTAACATTTTGCATTTAATAATTAAAATACTTAATAATTAAACCTAAATATTTCTATTTGATTTTCTTTGGGAGTTTTAAATGCATTTCTATAAATTTGAATTTTACGCACGAGAGACGAATTTGTGACCTTTTGGAAATTCGAGCGATGACAATTACTGCGCTGCGGCGGTCATTCACTTTGAATAATGAAATAATGAAGTTAAAGTAAACTACCGATGCGGCTTATTAACATTACATTTACGAGTTTCACATTCTTATCTCGTTAATCATATGTTTAATCGTTATAATGAATCTTTT